TTTGTTTTTTTTTTAAAGGTCCTGCAACTTTTGGACATTTCAGACTTTATTGAGCAGACGTATTTATGAGGAGAATCATTAATTACGTTACTATTTTCATTATTGATTGATTGTCTTTATCATTTTTTTTTTTTAACTTTATTTTAATGGTGGGAAAATCTGTTGGATAAAAATGTTCACCACAATTTCCAGTGTGATTTTGTGAATGGTCATATAACATATAAGTTCTCACAACTGAGTAACTGAAACCAGAGGATGTTTGACATTTAACCTGGGAAGGAGAAAGATTATTTATAAGCAAAAATTCTTGATTTTGATGATCTGATATTTTATTATTGATTCATTGTATAAGCTCTAGAATTTGTCTGATTTCTCTTTAGCGACAGACAGAACAAACATTATTTTTTTATTGCTGTCTGTCTCAGCAGAGTTGATTCTGTTGATGAGATTTAATGTGATGGTGTGTGATGACCTGTGCAGGAGGTCTGAGTCAGGACCAGAGGCTGGAGGCGATGTCAAAACTGAAGCAGTACCAATGCAGGGTGCTCATCTCCACTGACCTGGTGAGATGCACATATCGCTCATTGCACTGCTTCCCAATATGTCACCCATCACTTGCATCTTTTTGCACATCTTACAATTTGCTCCCTCTTCCTCCCTCTCTTCCCAACAGACTTCCAGAGGAATAGATGCAGAGAAGGTCAACCTGGTGATAAACCTGGACGTACCTCAGGACTGGGAAACCTACATGCACAGAATCGGGCGTGCAGGACGCTTCGGTAAGTCCCCAAAACTGTTTGGTTAAGGCAGAAGCCAGACATCAGAGGCAGCACTACTCAGCATGTTCAACTTTTCACATCATCCTATCAGAGAGACCAGCCAAGTGATGACACAGTGCAGGAGGCGGAGAGACTGTCTGTAGAGACGTTGCATCATTATTGAGTCAGTCCTCTGTTTAGAAAACATTCTGTTGTTTTCAGGCGGACTAACTTGGCTCAATAGCCAAACTAACACAGCTTCAGGGTGATTCTTACTGACACTTCAATAGAAAAAGTCATTTTGTTGCCTATATTCAGCAGGTTTGTTTTAAAATTGGTATATTTTTCATTTTTTTAAAAGATCATACAGCAACAAAACAAATCCAGTTCAGTGTTGGAGAAATCAGTTTCTCTCCTGAAGTATGATACCTGTCCAAAAACCTGCGTCACTTTACGTTGCTCTGAACTAGACTTGATTTACTTCACCAGTTTCCTCTAAATGCTTTCAATACCGATTTGAAGATTAGTGTCACTCTCTGAAGTATTACCAGGTTCAACCCTCGTCCCAACGTCATGAGGTTCTCAATGTGCTGTTAATTAGAACTATTTTTGACTTGTGTGTTGTCCTGAAAATGTGCATGCGTGTGTGTGCGTGCACCTGTTGCCCCTGGATACACACCCTCCTTGATCCCTCACTGTAATGTGAATGGGTTCTCATCAGGATTGCGTTTTGTTTGTAGGCACTCAAGGTCTGGCTGTGACCTACTGTTGCCATGGTGAGGAGGAGAACAAGATGATGGCCATTGCTCAAAAGTGCGGCCTGAGTTTGTCCGTATTACCATGTAAGTCGACACGTCTACATGTTTCATATGCAGGATGTGCATCTCTGTGCTCTTTGTAGATTGATTCTCCTTTTAAATCACATTCTTTTATTTAATATTCATGTGGTAAAGTAGTTCCAGTCTCATTTATCATCTGTCCCTTTAGCCACCATAGAGCCCGGGTTGATGGATGAGCCGTGTGACTGGGATGTCTGCACTGACGCTTCCACTCCAGGCTCCTTATCCCAGCTCGTCTCCAAGACGGAGAAGAAGAGGCGTGTCAAGGCTGACGTGCCTGCTCCTGCTGCCGCTGCCGCCGCCACCGTCGCCTCCATCCCAGATCAACCTGTCAGGCAAAGTGCACCAACAAAGCCGGAGAAGAGCCAACCACCAACCAGGAGGGGAGCACGTGGTGAAGTGACTACGAGGAAAGTGTCTCCTGTGAGTCCACCTCAGGAGGTGCAGACTCGAAAACAGCTGCAAGACGCTCTCCCCAAGATCCCTCCGCTCAGCTCGTTCAAGAGTTGCAGGTCTAGGTTTATGACCTTTGAGGAAGCTGAGCAGGATTTCTGGAGCTTCATTAATACAGGGTTGGGGAGATCAGTGGAGGTCATCAGGGAGTTCAGAGGTCGAGATGTGGACGGCGGCGATGATCAGAATGGGCACAGAGAGTCCTTCATGCTCAATGATGACGGAACTCAAAGTTTAACACAAAAAAGAGAAAGCTGGAAATCCAACCATTCACCTCCAAGGTCGGTTTCCAGTTCTTCAAGCTCACAGTCGGACATGGAGGAGAACCAGCAGGAGGACGAGACGGTGGGAGGTTCGAATCACGCCGGAGGAGTTGAACACAGAGCAGTGACGCAACCTCACACTGATGCTGGAAACACACCAACTGTGCCCAAATCAAAACCAAGGCCCAGCGTTTATACCTCTCCACCAAAAACATATCAGCAGAGGACCTTTGAATCAAATGAGAAAACTTTGTGTGACTCTGTACCAAGCGTCAGATCCAACAGGGAGGACAATCAGGCCGCTCGCTCACAGACTGGCAGACATGCATCAAGAAAGGTGAAAGAAGAGTTTGAGAAACAGAGCAAAAGGCCTTCTGAAAAGATGAATAGAGAGCGAAAGAGGGAGAGGTATGAAGATGATGAAGAAGAAGAAGAAGAAGAGGAGGAGGAAGAGAAGGAGGAATCGAGTGCTGAAATTTACTGGAGAACCTGCTACAAAGCTTGGAATGATTACTACGCCTGCATGTCTCCTTGTCCAGCACAGGGATACCAAAGCTACTACAGTGCAGCTCACAACTGGATGGCAGCATATCGCATGAACGCTGCCTACATGGAAGAACTCTTCAAACAGTGACTTGTCTTTAACTGTTAATAAGGATTTCTAATGATGATGTTCTCTTGTGTGAACTAAGCCAGACTCCAATGATGTTGTGTCTGTGTGTATGTAAGTTCTGCTGCAGGACTTGCATAGTCATTTTTGTGCACTTCTGGTGTAACACATTGCACTTACTTCTTCTCCATCGAGCACGTTGTGTTGTAATCGGTGTCTGAACCTACTTCCATCAAACCTTGTGGAGGCGTGGCCCTGGGATGAAACCTCAAAACTTTGGTGTGAATTAAGTGGATGAAGAATTATTGCGGCATTCCTCACTTTTTTAGTTTCATTTTATTTTTTAAGTTGGAGGATTGTTGGGCCTTGATGCTTTGGTCAGTGTCATTCTTGGTTTGCATATTTTTCTTCACATTAATACCGTGTACAGCACATCACAATTCTGTCACTAATAAATGACTGGCACGGAAGATCTGTCTCAAAGCCCCTTTCTGTAATGGGTCTACACCTGGTTTACACATTCACAAGCGATAACACCATCTTATTTCTTGCTTCCGCCACAGAAGTTATGTTTTCACCTCTGTCAGCAAGATAACACAAAAACTACAGGATGGATTTCCATGGAACTTGGTGGTATGGGTCAGAGAAAAACTCATTTTGGTGTGGATCCAGATAACAATGTGAAATAGGGTGTTTTTTATTTTGTTTGTTTTACATTTTCACTTATTAAATAATGTAATAATGGATCCTGATGAGAAAAAATTGGCATTTTCGAGGCAGATTTCTGAATGTGCATTATGATGCAACTTCAAATCTACTTTTTTAATATGTGGTGAAAAATCCTCAACTTCTTCAGAGTATGAAGATCATCATCAAAGGCCATTACTCTATTCTGGTCTTCATAGAGCAAGGTGAAGAGGGAGGAGGGCAGACTGCTGTTTACAGTGTCATCTCTTCAACAAGGTCAGACTACTCCTGCTCCTGATTACAAGCTAATCAACCGCTCCCGACCATTCACCCAATCAGTGCTGAGCCAGACAAAATGAAAAACACCCTTGAATTATTACATTTAAGCAGAAGCCCCCTTCAACTAATCTGTACAATGTGCAGCACTTTCCTCAAATCCTCGTTGTGCAGCACACTGATTTACTCCATGACACAGGTTATCTGGGGGAATGAAAGAGAGATGTCACACTCGGGGGAAACGATGGATGTTCAGACTTTGTGGAACCAAACCGCCTCGCACAGAGACACTCGCACGGAACTGTGGTTCCTCCTCTTCAACTGCACAGTCTTAACTCTGACACTAGTCCTGGGTTTACCCGGGAACTTGTGGGTGTGTTGGTTGGTTTTCAGGACCAAGAGCCTGCAGACCTGCAACAACGCGCTGCTGGTGAGCCTGGCCACCAGCGACCTGCTCAAGTGCTCCGTGGACACGCCGCTGCTGCTCTTCTCCCTCCTGCGCTACGGGGGTGGCCGCCGGGTGTCGGTGCCCGTGTGCACCCTGCAGCAGTTCACCTACGCGCTGTGCAGCTGCGTCCAGCTGCTCACGCTGCTCAGCATCAGCGTGGAGCGCTTCCAGGCCATCGCCTTCCCCTTCCAGACCGAGCGGCGGAAAGCGAGGGTCCGTGTCTGGATCCTGTTCATCTGGGCGAGCGGCCTCGTCCTGGCGCTCGTCTCCCTGACTCTCTCCGAGAAAGCGCAGTTTTACATGCTCTGTGGCCCGCACGTCGCCGGCCACCGGTATTCGGATCCGTTCGGGCCCTACGTGCTGTCGCCGGTGTGGGGGCTGTGTATAACTTTGATCGTCATCCACTACGTGCGGATATTCAAACTTGTGAGGCAGCACCGGAAGAAAGTTTTCCAACGGGGAGTCCAGCTGAGACCGACGGTGTCTGAGGACGTCTGGGCCTGGCTGAGCGGCCCGGCTCCAGGGGGCCCCTTCAGCCCGCTGCCGCCCCGCCGCACGGTGCTCCTGGTAGCGGAGGCCGGAGCGCCCTGTGCGCCCTCAGCCTCTGGCACCAGGTGCGCGCCGGGGAGACCTCCGGAGATCGTCGGTGCAGTGTGTCTGATGACACCAGGGGCCAGGGAACGGGGGAAGAAACAGATGGAGGGGAAAGTGGCTCAGCGTTTTGGTTACATAATCATTGCGTTCACGCTTTTCTGGATGCCCATGGTGGTTATTCTGCTGGTGAAAGTCTTCTCCAGGCAGGACACGGGCAGAGTGAGCTGGGGTTTTGTTGTTCATTTAATATCATACTATCTGGAAAATAGAAACGCAGCACCGCAACATGTAATTAACACTAAATATCACTTTTCAAAAACCACAGCATCCAACAGAACTGAGTCAACAACCAAACTAAGTGTAAAGTGTAAAGTAACTATAACTGAAAATTTGAAGAACTATTTCTCCAGGACTGTTGCACAGTTATAACTCTGGTTTGTCAGTGCAAATAGAAATGATGCATCATAGTAGCAGCTAAAAATTAATAAATCAACAGTGTCCATTCTTTGCAAAGTAAATCTCTGTGTTTTCAGACTGTTGGTTGAACAAATTTGCAGATTTCGCCACAGTCTCTGAAAATTGCAATTCATCGAAAACTGATTATTAATCAAGTACAGTTGTAACTGATAAAAATGCTGCTGTGCATAAAGAGAGATATTCTGGTTGTGTTTCCTTGCACCATCCTGAGCTCTGTGCTGTGTTTCCCACAGCTGCTGATGGAGCTGGAGACCTCAGCCGTGGTGCTGACCTGCATGCAGGCTGCGGTGGATCCTCTCATCTACACTTTGGTCACGAGACAGTTTCGCTCTGAACTCAGCAAGATCCTCTCCTCCGTCCCGGGATGTCCACTGAAACCCAGAGCCTGAGGAGTCAGTTCTTTGATGATGAAAGTTTGAGAACACATGGACTGAAGTTAAATGTACACGAGCCTGTTTGCACACACTTAGATGGATTTAGAGGCAGGTGAAGAACAGAGCCCACAGACTTCTGTATTTGTGGCAGATATAGATGTTTTATCAGGCGTTTCACAGTCGGAACACAAGACAAGGTCATACATAATATCCAGCACCTGACAAGATACGCACAGCAGTAGTCTCAACAACGACAGGTGGCATAGGAGGGCAAAGCAAAGAGGGAGAGAGAAAATGGACTGAGCCCAGAAAAGAGACAATCAAAGAAGAGTACTTAACAGAGAAAGAGAGAGAGAGAGAGAGACAAACACAATCAAAGACAAGACCTCTGCATTTGCTGTTTGGAAATAAAAATGCAATCCTTTGACACTTGGAGCAGAAATATGCTTACATAAGAATTCAAACTGTGTCATTTTCAAAGTGCAGCTGACACAAAACAACCTGCCCAGAAACAGGGAAGCGGGAAATAAATTGTGGTAAATCACTGTCCTATAGCAAAAAAATAAAATATAAAAATACAGGGAACCTCACTTGTGCCGTTACCTACGTCACATCCTCATAGTTTTCCATAGACTCTAAATGTTGGACTTGATGTTGTGAATATAAAGTCAATGTCTTTAACCCCCAGTTTTAAAATCACATTGGAAAAAAAGCTCTGCCGGCCTGTGCTTGTCTTCTTTTGTTCACTCCAGGTACATTTGCACACAGTATTTTTTTTTACTTAAACACCAATAATACTTGATCTAGGCAGCTGCTGTGACTGCGTACAGCTCTAAAGTACCAGCAGGAGTACTATGTCACTACTAGGAATATCAGAAGTAAAACACACCCTGTTCCAACTCAGTAGAATATTTTTGGCTTCTTTCTTTGGGGTGATACTAATGTCGGGATCAGAGAGAACACAACAGGGGAGTCTAAGTCTTGTGTCGTGATGCACTGATATGCTATATACTTCCACACGTGGGCTGATACGATGAGGATATGCATAATTCTAAGTCTAAGTACAAATGCATGTGTAAAATTGGTTAAGCTTTTCATTTATCTCCACCTGAAGGAAGTTAAATACTTTAAAAACAAACACCATGGTGCGTTTGGCTGCTAGTTTAGTTTTAAACACAGTCTATTTCTACAAGAAAAAAAACGTCAGCTACATATGGGCAGACATGATATTAGACCAATTCCAGTATTGCTTTTGAAATATGCTCCTCACTAATGGACAGTCTGCTGATGTATGGGTGTATCTTTAGCCCTGTCTGTGTGCTCTTAATCAACACCAGCGTCGGAGCGGCGGTGGTTGTTTCGTCTGCTGAGATGGAAGCTGTTCCTCCCTGTTTTTGGGGGAGAGCCCAGCACAGGTCTCATCCACCTGAACAAAGACCAGACCTGACTGTCTCTGCAGCTGCTGCCCTCGAAATGACATTCAAGATGAAAAAGGCCAACAGAGACTCATCAGCCGGGACGTTAGCAGAGCTAAAAGGCCAGCGTCCAGAGTTACAAAGGTCAACTTTGATGGGATTCCATGATGGGTGATGCTGAAGTTACAGGGTGGCTCTGTGAGTCGAGATATAGCGCTTGTTTTCGGTGACGAGGGATATGTGGATGGCTCATCCAGTGTCCTCTGTTTGTCTGTTTGTCACCGTGACAACAGACCTCCCTCCTTTAAGTTGTCCAGAAGATAACGTAAATAGGATCCTTTGAAAAACACCAAGAAAGACAAAAAGTACAAACACCAAGTAACCACATAGAGTACACATACCCAACAGCTTCGAAAAAAATGCCCGCTGAGTTTGGGGAAGAAAAAACATTGACAGCTATAAAGACTACTGAAAGCATACTGTTGTTCACACAGGAGGTGGGGATACAACAGGACAACAACGAGAGAGAGAGAGAGAGAGAGAGAGAGAGAGAGAGAGAGAGAGAGAGAGACAGAGTGAGGGAGAGAGCTAGAGAACGAGAGGACAGCTTCACTGGTTCTGCCAAACAATGGTCAAATATTACAAAATATTCTATTCACAATATTCACAAAGAACCCGGGGTTCAGGACAGATTTGTGTCAGAAATTCTCAGCAGGCGCCTTGTGCTTTTAATTGTCGTGGTTTGAATCAAAAACATTTCTTTTTTTGTTTTTGCTAGTTTGTTAAGAATTGAGTTGTTTGAGGTCCGTCAGGCTGTAGGAGTCGAATGGTGGAAAGAAAAAAGGGGGCGGGGGGTATTCAGAAAACTGTAACAGAACTCTCTTTTTACTCTAAAGCTAAACAGGCACATGTTGTGTAGAAGGCTTGTAGCTGAGGGTCTCTGACAGAAATGTGTGCGATGAACCCTTCAGAGTGGCAGCTAGTCAAATATGCCATATACTGAGCCGTAGAGACTTCCAGAAGAATTGAAACACAAGTTTTCAATCGACCGACACATTCACACACAGATGCACGCACACACACACACACACACACACACACACACACACACATCTTCTATCCAAAACGTCACAAATCCTCTATCTAGCAAAAAGTCACATTCATTCATTCACAAATATGAAACTCCTCGGTAACGCCATCACAGAAACACCGACCATATTTCATCTTTGTAGGAATTGTAGCTCTTGTGGAGAAATATTGGACCAGGAAAGGACTCGGTGGTATATTTATCTATCGTTAGGTAAGAGGATCAAAACTACATGAGAGGGCAGGGATAAATCAGAGGGGAAAAGGATTCTGATTACGTTTTCTTATTGAAGTTTGACTTTTCCTCCCTTTTCCTTATTTCTCCTGATAAAAAAAGATCGAAGTGTCAAACTGAAGTGAAAATCATAAAAAGGTGCTTTGTGCACAGTGACACATGACGAACTCTGGGAACTCATCTCCAACACTTTTAGAGGGAACTCTCACCTGCCTCCTCAGCTAGAATGACACCTTAAACATATTCTCACACATAGACACACACACATAGACACACACACACAAACACACACACACACACACGCACACACACACACTCGCTTACGCACAAACATGCATGCCAACCACTAACATGAATATACTGTATCTAAAAGCCATCCTCTGTCTGTACAGGGAGTCCATGTCGTTACAGTACATGACCAGCAGAGGGCAGGCTCCACCACAGCTAGGACTCTCGGATGCTTTCTCCTCCGTCCTCCTCTGTCCCTCAGTCTGTCTCAGTGAGTCTTTATCTGTCTTTCTGAACGACGGGTCTGCAACTCCAGTCTTCACAGTGCGGACACCTTCACAACGTTCTGGTAGGTGGGGCCTGCTGGCAGGTGAGCGTCGCCATCAGGGGTTGTCACAGGCGGTGTGGGGATGCTGATGATTGCTGTGGTGATCTGGCTGCTCTGGCAGTTCAGTGGTGCTGGTTCGTCCACACGCATGTTCAGACTGGAGCGGCTGCAGATCAAAGGAAGCACAGAAAATCAAAGATTAGGATATTCCTTCATAAGCCCACTAACATTCAGCCTTGCTTTGGTGGGAGGTGGGTTTGTGACTCAAGGTTCGGGTCCCACACCAGATTGTGGTTCAGGAAAAGTAAATAGGACACAATGCTCTCTCCTTCATCAGATATTAAAGTGTGTGTTTAAATTAATTCAACGTGCATGTGAATGGATCAACGGGACTTATCCACAAATCCATATGTCTGTCTGGATTCTTTGAAGTACCACTAAAAAATATATTTTTGACACAACCTCCTCAACTGTCCCAGTGCAACAACAATGTGATGCCAGTGGTGCCAGACCCACAGCTGCCTCAGTGCCGGATCTGAAAGGTTTGTCTTGTAAGTTGGAAGATGAGAAAAAAGCAGAAGAGACGGGTGGAGCTTTACTTGTGTTCATAGCTCAGCGCTGACAACAGACACTGTTACAAATTACTATTCTGAAAGTATACGAAAAGCATGCGCATTAAAACTTAAAGTAAACCCAGTGCTTACCTAAACCACAACACAAGAAATGTCCACACACCAGTGGAAGCTTTCAACAAACTTTTTAATTAGTCCCAGTAATTAAAAAGTTTATAGGAGCTTCAGCTGGTGTGCAGACATTTCTTCTTATTATTGTGACCACTGAGTCATGACTCTTTGGACTTTGCCTCTTAGATTGAGGAGTATTTTGGATTTTCTCTCTGAGTTCTGTTTTCTGTTTTATTTTGAAGTTTTTACTCCTCCTGTTTCTCTGCCTTGACTTCCTGCCTTTGTCCTGTTTCCCGCCCGTGTGATTGTCTGAACCTGTTCCTCATGTGTGTTCCACCACCTGTGTTCAATCAACCCCCCCCCCCCCCCCCCCCCCCTGCATATATAAGTCTCTACGCTTCCCTTTGCCGCCACCCTGTCGTCATTTCTTTGCCTTGATCCTTCACCCATGGAGTTTTTCTTGTTGCTAGTGTTTTGTTTTTGCAAGAACCTTGCCTCTGATTAAAGGACACTTTATGTTAACTTTTCTCACTCCTGCATTCTTTAGTCCACCTGCTCTTTAAACCCGGGCACACTGATTTTGTATGATATCATTGGGATGCTGGTGGTGTCAGACCCACTGAGCATCTCTGCAGTTCTGCCCAGCTTTCAGCTGCTTGTGAATTGGTTTGCAGCCTCTTCCAGTAAACAACAAGACAGTCAGAGTAAACATAGGCTGGTGAAGAAATTTGAGAGGCTCTCTGAATAAACATGTTTTCCTCTGTGCAGAGTTTGTGGACTGAACCAACAGTGGAAGCTGCATAAATATTTGGCATTCAGTTGTCGGGTGACCGAGGAAAGCAACTCCAGCGGGATGTTTGTGTTGCTCTGTGTCATCTGGGCAGGTGTTTGCAAACTGGTTAATTCAACAGCTGATGACGGACGACTTTGTTCTGCTGCAGACATTTGTCAAAAACCGGTTTAATATTGAGGTAATGTTGTGGTGAAAATCCGACAGTAAATTAGCAGCTGTTTGTTGGTTGTCATGAGTTACACAGAAACTAATTAGGCTAATTGTAGCTGGTGATAGAAAGACTTGATCAGTTGCCCGTAACAATTACTCCTATGTGGTCGGAGGGTGAGATGCCAGGATGTTGCACGACACAGTAGAGATAATTAAATTACATTTTCTGTTGGATGTTTTCTGGACTTTAGTCTGAATGCCTCAAAGTTGAGAAACAAAGCTGTTAAAAAACAGTTTTGTCAAAAATCGAATTCAGATTCCCCAAAAACTGGTTGAGGGAATATAAGCACAGTAGAAATGGTGACTGCAACTCTTTCTCAAATCGGATTTAATATACAACAGTGTATAAGCAAGAGTGTATATTTCTTTAAAGTGATTTCAGAAACACCCCAGCACACAAATTGAAGGATATTAGAGTCTTTTTGCTTCCATCCGTGGGGAATCCTGATCTCACCTGGTGCTGAGGGCCTGGATGTGGATGGTGCTGAGCTCCTGCAAGCCTTGGTGTGTGTGCGTCAAAGGCTGCATGTGCGCTGGGCCGCTGGCGTTCTGTAAAGGGCTGTGGTGCTTCTTGCTTCGGCGGGTGCAGCATGTGCCCGTCACGCCTTCTTGGTTAGAGAGGGAGGGGCTTCGAGATTGATAGTTTTGCAGGCTTGCCTCCAGGTAGCTCTGCTGGTAATACTGCTCATCCACAAACTCGTGGTTCTGGAGATGAAGAGAACGGGACCAGCAAAAGGAACGAACACAAAAAGAGAGAGAGAGAGTCATAAAAAAGAAGTGCCATTTACAACATGTATATTTATGACTATGTACTGTATGTGATTTGATATAGTTTGTCATTTTCTGCTTCATAGCCTGGGTCAATAACTGCTGAAAATGTGATTATTTTTTATGTAGGCATGTGTGTGTCTGTGTGTGTGTGTGTGTGTGTGTGCACGCTCACATTGTAAACATGATTTTAGTGTTTTGGAGCTTAGCTCAGAATCAATTCTCCAGGGTCTCAGCTCCTCAGAGCAGCCATAACTTGTATATTAACAATTGATCACATGACTACTTGTATGTGAAAAGGGTAATGAACCCACTTTATCACCCAAATCTGAGCATCGCATCAGCTCGACTGAGCTTTATAGCGTCTTCCAGATTATTGTCCAGGTTTGATGGCTCGCGGCCGTGTTGGTTCACTCTCACCTCTCCCTGTTGGCCACGACAGCCAGTTTTATTTTCCAAACAAACACTGTATGTACTCTACCTGCTCCAAACGGCAGTCTGACACAGTTAAAGACAAGCTGGAGAATTTACTGCAGAGGAGCATTTAGCAGCTTAAGACAGATGATGATGAGAGGGATAAACACGACTCTACATGAATACATGTTTTGGAGAATATAAATTGGTGAGTATTTGCAAACAGGTTTATCACATCAACTTTAAACATAATAGCATGATTGTTAACAGCTCCTCAGCCAATGAGGATAAACAAAAACTACAGGATGTGATTTCCACAAAACTGGATGGAAGGATGGAAGAAAGAGCTCATTAAATTTTGCCATGGATCCAGGATGTTTTTTTTTTCACTTTCCTTATCGTTGGATGATTGGGTGTTTTTTGATACACCTATTCCTAAGGCAATTTGGTGCAGATCCCCCCCAAAAATCTAGATCTAGTGGATTTAAATGTGTTTTCTTAGGGGGACTGGCAGATTCTAGTTGTAGGTTTAATTCACATGCACACTGAACTTCTTGTCATCCATTTTCTCACATATGCATATATATAATGTATATATAGTGTGTAACAGCTTGGGTGTGTGCATGTGCAACAGTGCATGCTAGATTCTTCCATTTGTCGTGCGATGAGTTGTGTCAGGCTGAAGCAGACGTGTGTGCGTGTGTATCACATACACACAGATGATCGTGTGTCATAAGGGAAGATGTAGTGCTCTGGACATCACGCTACAGTGAGCTGCACTCGCCCATGGACATATACTGTAGATCTATACACATTCTGCTGTCAGTTACTTCCCTCTGATGAGCTACAGCCTGAGAGAAATGCATGGATTTATATGGGCTTTTATGCTGACGTTAAGATAATATTCTAAAATCTGCATGAGTGAAAAAAATGTTTGTGTGTGTGTGTTTGTTTTATGTGTGTGTGTGTGTACTCACAGTGGTTTTCTCCAGACAGTGCAGCAGGTGGTGGTGCTGGCTCTCTAATAGAGAAGTAGACTTACTTAACCGCTGCTCCTCCTCAGAACTCTGTAACACACACACACACACACACACAAACACGCATGCACACGAAATGAGTGCTCTGCTACGTTTTCTTTTAGGATGACACTAATCAGATGTGGGAGGTGCGCGGCCGGCAGATGTCTCAGTACCTGCTCTGAAAGGTTCATCTTGTATGGAAGTTGCTTCGGTTGGAGAGGAAGACAAAAGGAGAACAGACAGGTGTGATTTTAAATAGTGTTCGTAGTTTGAGCGTTGAGAACAGACAGCCGTCAAGGCCACAGTGATGCCAGGAACATTACCATTCCTACCCTGAGAGGCACGTCCGCTAACATCAGTGGAGCCAGTGCATTGATCTGTGCTGGAGGGGAGACTTCTAGCACAACTCGCCCATAATGGATATACAGTATATAAAATTCACAAAGAATTTCCACTGTGGCTTTTTGCCTCCGTCTCTGCGATCGCAAAGATTGTAGCTACAGGCAACATGTTCATGACTTGTTTTCCATATTCCTTATTTTCTATGCCGTGGCCCATTTATTTGTGTGTGTGTGTGTGTATGTGTGTATTTGTGCGTGAACAAGTGGGTGATGTTTCTAGTTCTGTGGTGGTTGGGTTATGAAACTCATTTCTGGGCAGTGGTGTGGTGAGTCAGAGAATGAGATTCTTATGGACTGTTGTGGATCCTGTAGGAAAAATGTAGAGACCATCTAAAACAACATGTGATTGTTTATACTCGACAGTTTGTTCGCTTGGATTTTTCAGTCCGTGTGTTTATTTTCTTTTATTAGTCCAATAAATTATTGTACTGCTGGGCCTTGTAGGGGGGAATTAAAGTTTGTGGAAAATATTTGCTCTGTTCGTACAAGAAATTTTATATTCAGACACATAAATCTTTATATAATGAAATAACAAGGCTTTTAATATTCTGTTATCTGCTCTTCATTCACTCAGTTTCCCAGGTAAAATTTCAAAGAGATGCCTTCAGATTATTAAAATGTTGCTAACACAGTTTGAAATTTAACACACTTATACATCAAACATCTCAGCAGGGTCTTCAGAGGAGCTTTGACACATGCAACAGAGATTATTCTGCATTATTTTCATAAATATTGGCCATAAAAGCCTTGAGCTTGCGCTCGGGAAGATCAGTTCAGTATATTGCAGAATGCAGCTGCTGTTGCTTTCAGAAGTGCAGCAATGTTTCACATATACAGTCTTTCAATGGGTTGCATCAGTCTTTCCCTGCAGAATCCATAGTTGAGCTGTTTATAAAAAACAAAGCCCAACAATATACTGCCCTGATCCTGAATGCACGACAGCACTGCCGGAAGAAAAACTACAGCGCCACGTTTCAGGGATTTGTAGTTGCAATTTTCTGTTAGTTGAGCGGGCGTCTGTTGTTGGAAGCAGAAACTTCTTTACAGAGACGGTACCAGGCCGCTCACCTGTGCTCACACTCCACAGAATTGTTTATGCAGTTATTTCTGTCTTTCTCTATACATTCGACAGCATGCCCATACCAGCAGTCTATCTGGAGGCGGCCATGGCTCACCACCCAGGTGGCCGCCATACTGTGGTGAGAGGAAACAGCTTGATCGGCCGAGCGACAAATCACACTGAGTCGCTCTGTATGATGCTGAAAATGCTGTTAGTAAATAGCAGCCTTAAAATTACGCTCAATTTGTACAACAATTTACATTTTAATTGTGCTGGTTTATGTCTTCATACAAGAGCTTACGAACTGTGAACTATCTTGGACATGAAGAGTCACCACTGATAGACAGAGCTCGACTGTGGCTAATTTTTTAAACCAACCTGACAAATAAATGTGATAAAACAGAAAATACATTAAAGAAAAAAATGAAAGGTACATTTATCTAAGCAGACAGCGCAGGAGAGCGACTGCTCATGAATTTATATGACTATCTCTGCAAAGAAGTGAAAAAGTCTTGAGATGCTGATCATGTTGCATTTAATTACTTTTGAGCTTTGGCTGCACAATGTGGAAAAGGAGGAAACTCTTTTCTTATTGTGTTTTCAATGACAGATATTTGAGATTTTGATAATGACTCTGTGCTTTGCGTACTATACAGAAAAACATGCACTGCACTGCAATGTAATAATGTTCCCTAATCCATACTTAATTATTTCATTTAAATGTAATATCGGCTGTGGTATTCAAGTAAACAAAATAAAAACAAACCTTCACAATATGTAATCACATTAGCAATACTTCTGCTCTGTGTCATATATAAAACAAACTACAAAATAAAATCCTTATTTATATAGAAGTTTTAAACTTTTGCTGACTGCTGACAGTCTCTTTTAGCACCGTTATAAAAAAAACATCCAATGAAGCAACTTTATCAGTCAATATTTGCTGTGGAGTTTACCCATGATACTTTGCTTGTATTTAAGATAAATGGAAACAACATCACTGCAACACGTTATCTCTTAAGGCAATGTCAATATAAATTTGATACATTGTTCAGCCATAGCTCGAGAATAAGGCCTGCTACCATTCTGAGAAAAAGAAAAAGAGACAGAGCGAGAAAGAAAGAGAGAGAGAGAGATGCACATATAGCAAGACGGATGGGGGGTGGATGAAACACGTTTTTATTTTTGTGCCGTGTCAGCCCCGGGCCACTATAGCGCCTGTGAACCACAACATTTTGGCGACGCATGGAACATCCCTGAGTTGTGTTTACATTTCCTGCTACATCGCCCCAAGCCTGTTCCTCAGATGGGCAGCTGGGCAGCTGGGCTCGGGATGCTCACATTAGAAAATGCCGCTCCGTGGATGAGATCACAGTAAACTGCTCTGATGGGATTCTGGGCGCATTCTAAGAACTGATAATTAGCGGATGGACAAGTGTTGGACCACATCCAATTACTCAGAAATCCTCAGAGCATTTTTTCCAAGTGATTGCAGATGTCAGGCTTTCTGTGTCGTCAGTCAAAAGACAAAAAATGTGAGGGTGCCATGTGTTGACACCAGCGACGCATCTGTGGTCTTGGAGGCTTTTCTTACCGTGAGCTCTAGGACTTCGTTGAACAGGCCGTTGCGCTTGCTGTGGAGGAAGGCATTGGAGCTTCCCGTCTTGGATATTCGTATCCTGGCCAAGCGAGCTTTCTGGAAAGAGAAGGAGATCACAGAATCCACCTGTTAGACAGTCAGTGCTATACAGTACTATACCATGCAACCATATGTCAGAACGACTTGGTACCATCCTGACACGTCCCACTGATTTGCTTCATATTTGTGCTGTGATCTTATAGATCAAATCAAGCATGTGCTACTAAAGCATTCACTGTTATCTCCTGTAATATGTTCACTCTAATCCCCTGCGATACTTATGAATGATTAATGGCGACTACACGATAGCACATTTATTGGGTTGAAAACCAGTTAGGGAGGCAGCTAGGAGTGGACCAGGTATTAGCTTAAGTGTCATTCTGCGTTCAGAATATTGAATTCAAATTATTTAGGCTGTTTAATGTGCTGCTTTGTTTGTGGTTTTGTGTCGTAAATGAAATCAGGTGTCCCGGCCCATAACGCTCTACAGCAGGGGTCACCAACCTTTTTGAAACTGAGACCTACTTCATGGGTACTGAGTCATACGAAGGGCTACCAGTTTGATACACTCTTCTGAAATAACAAATTTGCTCAGTTTGCATCACTTGAACAACATTTCATTAAAAAAAAGGCCCATATTCACGAGCCACTAACCAACCCTTTTAACAAATCATAGTCAATAGTCAACCTCAATATGAGAATATAAATTTGACAGTATAAAAAGCTAATAATTACATTTAATTAGAAACGCATATCAAATCTTAGACGCGGCTCACTGGTGAGTTGTGTTATTTTTAGAAAAGGCCTGCGGGCTACTCATGTGGTCCTTGGGGGCTACCTGGTGCCCACGGGCACCATGTTGGTGACCACTGCTCTACAGCTTCACTCCTAAGCAGCCAAGCATGCGTTGGCTGAAATGCATCTTTACTCATCAAACCTGTACAGCACAGTTAGCGCACAGACCGGCCTCTTTTTCCTATCCCTTTCTCTCACGCTGTCAAATCTCTCCTGTGAGGCGACTGGGATGAAGAAGAGAAGAGAAGGAGTACGAGGAAGGAACAGTGAGATCTTCAAGCATCGGTAGCTTTGACACAGTGGGAGGATTCTGCTCCTGCAACTGAACATGTGTGAAAACGTCTGCATACAAATTCCTGTGAGGAGAACATGATGTGTCATGTTACCAGGACTGCGTAATCAGAGTTACTTATTTCTCAAAAGTCCTGCCATTTTCTCATCAAAGTCAACATCTGCGTGTCGGGCTCGGTGCAGCTACAGCACGTGTGTGTGTGTCTGTTTCTGTTGCTTCTCCTTCTGCAATTTAAAAATAGAATGATGGATTCATTGAAGGGAAATTGCTAGCAGGATAATGTGAGCTGTGTAAATGATGAGCAGACACGCAGCTCGTTTAGTAGGGGGCCCCATGCACTGCTGGGGGGTTAATTGAGTGTGCGGATGTGTGTTTGCATATCTCCATGTGTGCTAAAGCATGCATGCCTCGTCTTCATTGCTAAAATTCCCATACATATACATGTGAGCCACATAGAGTGCCAGCAGAGGTACCTGGCTCAGTGAGAGTATGTTAATGTATGGTAATTCAAGCTTATCCCCGGACTTGAGTTTCATTTACAACATGGTAATGTTTGTTGACCCGCAGGTAGCTCACGCTGGGATTTCATAGGGAGGGGCAGGGGGAATAAACGATGCCTGTGAATGCACATGTGAAGAGTGGCCAATCCACTGTGCTCTGTAGCGACTACAGCACAAACCCCACTTCTTTCAAACTGTTTACCTCTCCGGTTCTCTTCCATCTTTTTGACTCTGTCGCCCTCTCTCCCTGGCTCCGCTTGGTAAGTTTTCCCCAGCTCTGCGTGCCCTCACACTCTAACACCTATGTACGTTTGTGCTGGCACAGCAATCCCACAGGCCTTTGGGATGACCCCTCTTCATGTTCTGACATTGTGCTCATCCAATGGGATCGTCTCTCTGGGGCCACCACGCAAACAGAAGCGTGTGACTGTGGCGATGGTTGCCAGGCAGCGCAGGGGTAATGGAGGGGATGTTAAGAACATGTCCTGCTAGATTGAATCTACTTCTGCAGTTCTCTGATAGATTCCCGGGGCCTCTGGGACCCAGGCGCTTGTGTCTGAGGCCCATCTGTGTGTGCTTTCAGGCAGAGCCACCTCACGACAGATTGGGCCTGAATTGCTGCTGAAGCATCATTGAGAGGGCAGAGGAAACCATGGACACAGGCCTTTCATGAACACCTACACATGCACAGAGGACCAAGTAGTAAGTTACAAGGCACTGAAACACAAAACACATAGAGGGAAAATGTAAGTGCTCTATCAGTGTTACCACACAGAAGAATTAGAGTTTGCACTTATCTGTAGTCAAATATAATCTGAAAATCTTTTATAAATGTTATTATATCCTCATATCTACATTTTTGTTGTCTATTGTCTATAGCAGGCTTCTGTCTTAAGGCCAATTCATGCCTCCGTGTAGCCTGCTCATAGGGCCGAACATTCACGTGTCTGCAATTACACCGCTGAAACGCTAGAGGTGGTAGAGTGTCTATGCTGGTGTTGTGTGCTTTCCGGGTTTCTGGTTTGCTTAATTACAAATTCTCTGGCGTCTCTGTTTACTTCAGTACAATGGTCAGCGTTACTAAGCGGATCCTGTTAGAGTTGATAGATGTTGAAGAGCAATTATGAAGAAAAGAAAGATATCGTCTGTGTTCATTCGAATTTTTGGTAATTTTGGTTAAAGGAGGATGGTATCAGCTCTAATCCCCCCACAAACTGCCCACTGAGTTTGAGGAATTGAGCGATTCATGTGTCTTTAAGGGATAAAGATGGCAGTATTATTAGTTTGTCTACTCTGCGCAGGCACCTCAGGTCTGGATTCTTAGATGGAAAGTATTAGGATTTTGAGCTACCTCGTTAATGCAGAAAGAGATCAGAATTTATTTTTCTCGAGTGAATACAATACGCGTCCATAGACTTTCCCTTAATAGCTTTCAAAATTAAAAATATTCCAACTCCTGCCAGAAGAGTGTGATGCACAAAATCACTGCTTGAAACAGTCCAGATGTTTTCACACCCACATGAGCCAATAAACTGATTAAAAGCCTTTTCTTCATCTTTGATTTTGTTCTTCCCGCCACAGAGCCACAGTTTAGGATGAATCACACTTTACAGATTACCGCTATAGGATGCAAGTCTGCACAAATGCTTCATTTTGACATCACGTGCTAACAGCTGAGGGATCTACACTGGCATATCCTCAAATTATAAAAAAAACCAAAAAACGCTATGTATCCACTTAGCTCCAATGACATACTTCGCCAAGCATTTCCAGGTAGTTTTGTTAGAAGTAAATTTTTTCCGACTTGAAAGTAAAAGTAAAAAAATTCACAGCACCTCGTGAGTTGCAGCCTTGTCAGCCTGCCTGTATAGAATTTGGAGGAGTGAAAAAGTGGAGCATTCGAGCTGCGAGACCAGATTACGTTCCGCTTGAGGGCTGCCTTTGAACCATACAAGTGAAAGAGGAGAACATCTGATGAGAAAGCACACCCCCCCCCCGCATACACACTCTCCCCAGTACACACACACACACACACACAAATGGCCACAGAAGAGTCTCATTTTGTTCTGCACCTGCCGCTCAACTGAGGAGTTGCTTTTATACATGCTGACATTTCTGCCACAAGCAAATAAGTCAGTTACATCCTCTGAGGTATGTCGCCTTATGATAACACACACACACACACGCAGAAAGAAAGAGAGCTGAGAGAGCGAGAGCTGAGAGAGAGAGATAGAGAGAGAGAAAGAGAGAGAGAGAGAGGAAATCAAGTCCTTCGACAACCTGGACCCGCAGAGATCTGCTGACCTCTGTAACAAAGTCGACTTAACCTCGGACTCAAACCACTCAGAGACAAATACCTTTGATCATAGAGAAGAGTACGGACAAGCTGCCGTCATGTTGGTATTCAGGATGTTTTTCTTACGGACGGCACAACTCTTGGCCCTCCTCAGTGAGGTCCCCTGTCAACATTCCTCCATCCTTCTGCTTTGTCTACGACTTTATTGATTGTCTAGAAGGGGGAAAACACTCTCAGCAAGAAGTCATCTCAACCTTTTGACTTCAACCTTCTGATGGAGGGAGAAAAACAATAGGTAGATGATTTAAAGCAAAGGGAGCGGGGGGGGGGGGG